ACGGCCAACACCTTATCGAAGCCTTCTCAACTCATGTTCAAATCGGACTTCAACCCCATCAAGCGACTAATGGCATCCAGCTGAGAGACCTCAGAATGAACATGAAGGGGTTTCGCAGCCGAGTCCATCATGTACTTGAACACATCTACGGCTGCCTGCATCTCTGCCTCCTCACGTCCTTTAGCAAACTATGCTTGGTGAACATCATCTACCATGTCTGCTACCTCGGCATCAGCATCGAAAGCCTCGACACGTGGTCTCACCACCTCCTCTCTCATACGATCGGGTTCACCATGGTGGACCCAACGGGTGTAGTTCGGCGTAAACCCATTCTTGTGCAGATGTATACCCATGACTTCCTGGTTTTGCATTCTCCTGTTACCACACTTGCTGCAGGGACACAAAGCCATTTTTGGGTATCTAGCGGCCTTGCCAAATGCACGCTTCAAGAAACAATCGGTCTTGTTCATCCATTCAATGCTGACATCACCCTGACTTGTCCGGCCCATGTACATCCACTGACGGTCCTCCATCCTCTAGCATATATAACATCTCCATAGGTGACCATAAATTGCATCTACACGGTGTCCCTACTCTCTAATAGGTGAGGATAGGTCCTAATCCCACCCACAGATGCGTAGATGAGGTTAGTTTCCATGCTCTGCTCCTATCTGAGATAGAATTTCGGTAGCACCTCCCCCCTGTTCTCCCGATACACGTCCTGCAAGGGAGAGTGTGCATCCAAAGAACAACAGGGGGTGATGCCGAAACACCATCTTGGACCAGAGCGGACCATGAAAACTAACCCATCTACGCAACCGCGGGCTGTCCAAAAAACATGGACAATCCGAAACAGATACGGTCGCAGATATACAAAGATCTGCATACCTCCAACCGTATCTCTTTTGGACGGGAGACACCTAACTAGGTTACGCGACCAAAGACCACATACGGATAGAGGGGTTATACCTAGGGTGCCGGTGAGGTCAGGGTAGCGGGGCGGTGGAGAGTCGGTGCAGTGGTGAGTCAACGCGGTGCAGTGAAGACCAGCACCGACGAAGACGATCGTGGTCACCGAGTCCCTCCCACAGTCCTCCTCCCGCAAAATGGTTAGTGTCGACTTAAAATTTGGCAGCACCTCCCCCACGGGAGGTTCCCAAAACTCTACAAAAAACATGGCACAAAGGCCAACAACCACATATATACCAAACATGGGCACGAAGGCCAACAACCACCAATATATCAAGAGGAGCCATGTACTTTAGTTCTCTTTCCATGCAGATGAAAGTATTGAAGTAGTACAACAACAATTACTACTAACCCTACAACTACTACTAACAACTACTACTAACTACTAACAACTACTAATACTAAGAACTACTAACTACTAAGAACTACTACTAACTACTAACGCTTACTAACTACTACTATTTACTAACTACTACTACTACTAACCCTACAACTAACACTACTAACTACTACTACTAACTACTACTACTTACTAACTACTACTACTAACTACTACTACTACTAACCCTACAACTAACACTACTAACTACTACAACTAACACTACTACTAACTACTACTACTAACACTACAATTAACTACTACTAACACTACTAACTACTACTACTACTAACCCTACAACTACTACTAACACTACTACTAACTACTTAACTACTAATAGTACTAATACTAAGAACTACTTAACTATTAACAACTACTACTACTAACCACTACTACTTACTAACTACTACTATTTACTAACTACTACTACTACTAACCCTACAACTAACACTACTAACTACTACTAACAACCACTACTACTTACTAACTACTACTACTAACCCTACAACTAACACTACTAACTACTACTTACTAACTACTACTATTTACTAACTACTACTACTACTACTAACCCTACAACTAACACTACTAACTACTACAACTAACACTACAACTAACACTACTAACTACTACTACTAACACTACAATTAACTACTACTAACACTACTAACTACTACTACTACTAACCCTACAACTACTACTAACACTACTACTAACAACTACTTAACTACTAACAAGACTAATACTAAGAACTACTTAACTATTAACAACTACTACTACTAACCACTACTACTTACTAACTACTACTATTTACTAACTACTACTACTACTAACCCTACAACTAACACTACTAACTACTACTACTACAACTACTACTTACTAACTACTACTATTTACTAACTACTACTACTACTAACCCTACAACTAACACTACTAACTACTACAACTAACACTACAACTAACACTACTAACTACTACTACTAACACTACAACTACTACTACTAACTACTACTAACTACTACTACTACTACTACTACTACTACTACAAGGGTAGGGCTTACCTTGGCGGCAAGAATGGCAAGAGCAAGGGCCATGACGACGATGGTGGGGATGACCATTGAAGAATGAGGATCAACGGGCGATCGGAACAGGCGTGAGGATCGACGGCAGCGGTCGGGTTGGCACCTTCCTCTTCTTCCTCCTCCCCTTCTCTTTCTTCCTTTCTTCCTCCTTCCCTTCTCTTTCTTCCTCTTGCTCCTCTCCTTCTCTTTCTCTCTTGCTCCTCTCCTTCTCCCTCTGGGTCGTCGGTGGAGCTCGGGGACCACGAGGGAGCTTGGGGCCGGGAGCTCTGGCCAGGCTCAGCTCGGGGCCGGTCGGGTCGCTGTCCCGGGAGCTTCGAGCCTGGGCACCCATGAGCTCGGGCGGCGGCGGGGACCTGGGCCTTGGGGCCGTCAGGCAGGCGGGAGCACCACGGCCGGGCGGTTAGCAAGCGCCAGGGACGGGGCGGGGCGTGGAGACGGGGCGCCAGGCGGGCTCTGAGGACCTCACGGGAGGGGACGACGGCGGGGGCGGCGGCGGCGCAGCCGGGAAACGCGGGGGCGGGTGGGGTTGGACCGGCCCGTTCTGGGCCTTTAGGTTAAAAGATTTGCCGAGTGCCGGGCCAGTGACACTCGGCAAAGGGTTTTTTATTTTTTTTAATTCTTTGCCGAGTGCCCTGTGACCTGGCACTCGGCAAAGGCTTCTTTACCGAGTGCCAAGGTTGGCACTCGGCAAATTAATTTTTTTTTTTTTTTTCGCCCCATTTTTTTCTGGGGCTTTGCTACAGTAATTAAAACTCCATTTCAAAATTTGGGACAATTTTGAGTTTTTTTACTATATTTCCTTAATTATTTTTGTTTCATTGAATTTTTCCGACTATTTCAAATTTGAACTGCATGTACATGAAATAATGAAATTTGGTCATTCAAAAAATGGTATTCATGATGTTTGGCGTATGTTGAGGCCTTATCCAGGAACTCGCATGAAATGAGATGTCTAGCTTTTAGGCATCCGACGTCACAACTTGCTCCAAACTTTCTCAATTTTTTACCACGGCCTCCACATGCGATAACAAGACACCTCGACAAGTTTCGTGATTTTCGGACTTCGTTTGAATTTTATATAATTTAAATACACTTTTCCCGCAAGTACATCATCATGTTACGACAACAAGATGCTCGTAATTTCATGCGAGTTCCTGGATACGGCCTCAACATACGCCAAACATCATGAATACCATTTTTTGAATGACCAAATTCCATTATTTCATATACATGCGCTTCAAATTTGAAATAGTCGGAAAAATTCAACGAAACAAAAATAATTAAGGAAATATAGTAAAAAACTCAAAATTGTCCCAAACTTTTGAAATGGAGTTTTAATTATCATAACAAGGCCCCGAAAAAAAAAATGGGACGAAAAAACAAAAAAAATTAATTTGCCGAGTGCCAACCTTGGCACTTTCAAAACAAAAGCATTTGCCGAAAGTGCCGTGTTACGGGCACTCGGCAAAGAATTTTTAAAAAATTAAAACCATTTGCCGAAAGCCCTAACTAACGGCGGGCGCGGCAACCTCGGCAAAGAATTTTTTAAAAAAATTAAAAACCATTTGCCGAGTGCCTAACGGCAAGCGGTCGGCGACGGTCACACACGCCGGCCACCTTTGCCGATGGCCAAATTTTGCAGTGCCCGGCACTCGGCAAAGATTTTTTGCCGACGGCCAATCTTTGCTGCCGCGCCCGGCACTCGGCAAAGGAAAATTTTTGTCGACGGCTAAAGTTTGCCGAGTGTGTCGCTCTCGGCAAAACAAATTTTGCCGAGTATCTTTGCCGAGTGCCGCTGGGTCCGGCTCTCGGCAAAGATTGTCTTTGTCGAATGCCCGACAGAAAGCACTCGGCAAAGCTTGTTGCACTCGGCAAATCAGCCGTGTCCGGTAGTGAGTGTTACTATTATTATTAATTTTTCGCATTAAGACTCAGTGCATGAGTATTACATATATTGCTTTTCCATATAAGAGGTCTTGAGCATTCATGCTAATACTGAACCGAGTTTGATGGAGGTTTGTATCAGGCCATTTTTTAATTTATCTCACTTTTTATTATCATTACATGAATGGTGTTTCTAACCAGATCGAGTGCAGTAATTTTCTTTGGAACTGAAATTATTACACTGTTGTAACAAAAAAAACTTACAGGATGTGCAAGGAGAATTGCCAGCTACGTATATAGACCAAACTGAAGAAACAGAACTCTGTATGCTAAGTGTTTCTTTGTGATGAAAAAGTTTGATAGATAGAATCACATGCCTATATATGGCTAATCTTACTGAAATTTTTATGCTTCCTGTATCTAAAATATTCCAGGAGGTATCTTACTGCAAATGTACTGCAGTACTTGTTTACTTTGCCTGAGCATAATATAAGTTCATGAATTTTGATCTGTTTATGTAAAATAAATTGCTCACAGTTGAAGAAGATCGTCGATGTAAGAGGAAACCAATAGAACCATGCACAAATGTTAATTCTTCATTTTTCTTATTGGTTCTCAGTAATCTCAGATCAATCATATATGTTTGAGATGATACTCTACAACTACAACTGACATTTCAATCTGTCATGCAGAACATGTTGGATGGGCACCATCAGCTCGCTATGATGCAGCAGCAGCAGCATCAGAACCACGGCCAGCAGCAGCAGCACCCGCCGCAAGTAGCCACGAGTGAGAGCGATGCACGCGGCCCACGCCACGACGAGCTGCTGATGGAGAGCAAGTCTGCCAGCGACAACATGGAGGGAGGTGCCGGGTCAGGCTCCGGTGGTGAGGAACTGGAGCCTCTCCAGGTCAAATTTTGGTTCCAGAACAAGCGTACCCAGATGAAGGTACAGCCAAAGCATGGTGATTGGTAATGGCCTTCTCAGTTTGCTTTGGAACTTCTCAAATACATGTTTAGCTTGCATATGCCACATTCTTATGTAAATTTGTTTATTTGCTCGGAATTTACGTTTTGAAATTACATTGATTGAGACTTTGTCAGCACATACTTATTCTTTAATCAATGGTTGTCACTTTAATTGGGCCAATGCTAGCTTACAACAGCAATATAGGTGTATACCCTGTATTCGGTAGAGTATATATCATAGTGTTATAAGATTTGCTTCTTCTTTTTTTGCAATGTTTTAGTGACTGATACCATTTTTGTCCCGCTGCTTGTATTTCTAATTTTATGATTAGTGATTACATGCTCACTGCAATTATACCCTAGATCATTACATTCATTATGTTGGCAAAATTAGCTACCCAGCCTATAACTCTGTACAACATGTATATCATTTCAGTGGCCTTGTTACCATTGATTTTGGACTAGCTTGCAGAAAAGCTATTTTTCTAGGCAGCTTGTAAGATATTTCTTTTCAAGTTTGGATAAGATTAAATTTTCTCTTGAGTTGTGAAGCAGGTGCACAGATTTGCTGAGAAAAAAATTATTATTTTTCTTTGGAAAATAGGTTTGCCGAGTATAATTCTCAAAAACACTCGGCAAACAATAATGATATGCTGAGATTTTTTTTTTGAAAAATAGGTTTGCTTGAGTGTAATTCCAAAAAACACTCGGCAAACAATAATCCTTTGTCGAGTGTATTTTGGAAAAACACTCGGCAAACCACTTTTTTTTTGCTGAGTGTCAGATGTGACACTCGGCAAACTATTTGCCGAGTGCACGATAAAAAACACTCGGCAAACTACTGCTTGTCGATACACAGATACCGTGTGTTGTATGCCGAGTGTTACACTCGGTAAAGCTACTGTATGCCGTAGTGTGTTGTGGATCGCGTTCTTCCATCATTTATGTGAATACACTTCTGCATGCCCTCTAATCTGTTGATTTTTGTTCTGTGTGCATATGCATCAATTGAGTGTATGGTATGGGCGTGGCAGATCGAAGACGAGGTCACTCGCATTCATGCATATCACCAGTACTGAGCAGTGAGCACTGACAACCAAGTCGTCGTCGTAGCTGGAGTATGCTGCTCCAAGTCAACTCTAGCTAGTGTACGCGGTATGCCCTCAGGCATCGGCAGACGATGTTGCATCATCACAGCATCAGTCTTTTACTTGCTTGCTTAGTGGCGCTGGCCTACTAGCTTGACGATCGATATATATGCCAGATAGAGTAGCAGTACTGAAATCTTTATTTCCCAATGCGTATTCTTTTCTCTGTTTTCCCGAACAAAAATACATTTTCCGTCTCTTGATATATATATATATATATATATATATATATATATATATATATATATATATATATATATATATATATATATATATATATATCTTCATTCATGCCACTGAACGAAACTGAATTGGAAGACGTAGAGACCTAGCAGAGATCGAAGCCATACATACATAGATACAAACAGATATCTAGCACTGCAGGTGTATATATCCATGATGCATGATACATGTCATGTGCGTGGAAATTCAAGCACACAGACACAGCACCAGTCAACGGAACGATCTCCTGCGTGTCCAGTGTGCTGTGCGCATGCTGACATGCGTGCATGAGTAGTGGTATAAATCCAAACGCAAATCGCGCGAGCGGCCGGGACGAAGGCACGCTAGATATGGATCATCGATGACGACGGAAGGCTGTTCGTCTCTTTTATGACCCGAGTTGAGTGTCCATGCCTCTGCATGTATCATGTCTCTTTTATGACCGGCGGTGGGTGCATGCTGCCGCTTGCCTGCCTTGCCTTGCCGTGCCGGCCGGCCTAATACTGACCAACCACCCTCCGTGACGCACGCTTCTTTACTGACGCCCGCTCGCCCGCCGCCGCTCGCTCGCCTCGATCGGCTTCTCAGCCCATCCCCTTGTTCCGCAATGCATGTCAGTTATTTGGAAACCGGCCTATCTATCCTTGAATCCAAGGTGACGATTTTGCTTCTTTTTTTTTACGGTTCTGATATGGTACTTTCTTTTTATATACATATATGCACACTTATACCTACGAACACTTGCATGTATATCGTACCTCTCAACCTCTGTGAGCATCTCTAAGAGAATGAGTTGGTGAGCCGATAATTCTTGAGATTGGTAAACTCATCCAAACATCTCGTAGTTGACGGACGTGTACGTTGTCTGCGGAAAGAATAGAATCAGAGCTCTTAATTATGAAATAAATATAGGAAAAATACAAACATCCATGATAAATCATGAAATGAATACAGGAAAACTACAAGAGGTCTGTGACAAGTCGAGGAATTGTAGCACGTACACAATAAAAAAAATCAGATCAGGCGATTTCAATTTCTGGATTGCATTGCTATCTGTGAGTTTGTGGAGGCGTACTCTAATGTTAGATCGATGCGTATGTCTTGCTAATATATGTAGGGGTTTTGCTACGGTACAATCTTTACTCCCCAAGAAGTAATATCTTGAACAAATCATAGCCCTTGATTTGTCAAAAAAAAGGATATATTTTCAAATACAATAATATCATTATATAATTAAAAATAATGAAAAAACAAAGAATATCTCGGCTGACCTTTCCTTTCCTTATCCTGATGCCGCAAGCATGGAAAAACAATAAGGAAAAAAAGTCCTGTCATGGCAATCTTCATCCGATATTTTTGCTAGGATATAACATCGTGCACATGTTATGTTGAGATTGTTCGCCTTGTACGAACGTAGAAGAGATGCAATCAAGACTAGGTCATCATGGCTGGGTTACACGTAGCATACGAGCGTACAAGATATTGTGCGATCAAGACAGTGCACACGTAACAGAAATACCTAGTAATTATATGTAGTTACACGTAGCAAGCTGTCATGCACCTTGTATTATTTGATACATTATTTTGTTCGAAAAAGTTACATCGAAGGATATGCCCCATACATGCATATACACACCTATCACGTTAAAAAAAATCATTGCTAGTTCTCTATCATCATGTTATGTTAAAAAAGATTAGATCTACCAAACTTTCCAAAAAGAAATAGTCCACATATTTGGAAACCCTTCTCTTCTTCCAAAATTAAAAGCAATTAAATATTTAATTTTATTATTACCTCCTATGAAGTAATATGTGGTAAAAGACATCCAGATCAATGATCCACAGTTATTTGGAGGTACCATAGGAAGGCCCTATATGTATGCTGTGTTATATATATATATATATATATATATATATATATATATATATATATATATATATATATATATATATATATATATATATATATATACATATTTTTCTTCACTGATTACACTAGTGCGTTACTATATACTACTCCCTCCATCCCAAATTGTAAGTCATTCCAAGAATCTTGGAGAGTCAAACTTTTTCAAGTTTGACTAAAATTATAAAGAGAAACACAAAGATTGATGACATCAAATAGGTATAATATGAAAATATAAGTAATGAAGAATCTAATGATACTCACTTGGTATGATAAATATTATTATTTTGTTATATAAATTTGGTCAAACTTGAAAAACTTTGACTCTCCAAGATTCTTGAAATGACTTACAATTTGGGATGGAGGGAGTACAATATACTCCTAGCACGCAAAGAAATGCATGCTACTGTTGCTTATGTCATAGCCGGAGGAGGATGGAGTAGATGGCCGGCGATCGATCGAGCAGCTCGAGGGCGATTTAAATGGGATCGAGAGGGACACGATAGCAACACACGTTCGCCAAGCATGGCCCCGAGCTGATGTGTCCTTTTTCATGGCGGCAGAACGCAGAAGCAGCACATTGTTTGGTCTCGTCTTTATACTCGTATGCTACTAGTTTGGCATTGTTTTCTTTTCCTTGGATGTCGTGCGCTGTAATAACTGCATGCGTGCTTGGTGAACAGTGAGAGAACTGCACTGTGATGACCGATCCAATCCATGCATGGATCATGTGGCCATACGTATGTATGCAATAGGAGTAAACGAGTATGCATGTAGAAGCTTCTTATATTGATTTGTTATCCCTAACAAAAATGAACGATGCAATACTACACTAGGGCTGCTGAGTCGGGGAAAACCTCGAAGAAATCCTTTAAACCCAACCTTGGACTGAGTCTCGGACCGTGTCTGCGAGAAATTAAGAAGCATCGATCATAGATTTTGGTAAGCCTCTCGATCGACTTGTCTGAACCTGATCCCGCTGATAGTGATGAATGGATGGCCGGTCGATCGGCCTCCATGATCAGTTGACGAAAGCTAGGTAGCTAGCTATGCTTTGTGGCATTCATGCACGCCGGCGGTAGATCGTCGACGACCATGCATTACTATTGATTGAGCACAGCCGCTGCTGTGCATGATGGTCCGAATATGGGCGCAATCTTATTACGCCTTTCGTTGCGGCACTGGGCTCCTCGATTGTGTACTACATACATATATATAAAAAAACTTGATCCGTGGAGGACAATGTCCCACTGAGTATTTCATTAAGAAGAAGATTTTCTCATGCAGATCGAGAAAATCCCTGAACCCCAGCCCCACCCATATACAGCAGCACCGCATCCCCGGGAGATGGGACGGCTACCGACTGTATACTTTGGTGTGGGACAGACGAGGGATTTTTTACCTCAGGTCAAATTCGCCCCCGAGGAGGATCGAACTCAGGACCTGAGAGATGCCGCAGGAAGCGTCGACCAACCGGTCTAGCTTCTGTTGGCGTACTACAGACATATACATGTCGCTTTTTATACCTATCATCATATTAAAGGATAAGAGTAAGGCCTCGTTTAGTTCCTCCCCCTAAAGTTTAGTCCATATCCCATCAGATGTTTGGACACATACATAGAGTACTAAATACTGGAATTGTTTCCATAAAGCAGCATGTATTTCCCCGATTGTTCACTTTTCCTTTAACTTTGCGTAAGATAGACATGTTTTCTGTAGAATATAATAGCTATCATGTGGTATGATCAGTTCAGTTTGGCAGCGTTTATGAGTCTGACTTTGTGATTTCAGGTGTATGTGAGGGCTGATAACCACAAAAAGTATGGAAAACACCCTCCAAAAAATGATGTAAGTTCAGTTTGCTTCCTGTCCCGTCCATGTGGAAATGTTCGGAGTCCCTAGCATGTTAAAATCGTAATCCTGAATTCAAATTTTAACAACTATGATCCCTAGAGTGTCACCTTGTTCATCAGTCATCAAAAGTTGGAGGAAAGGCTCAAGTGAAGGGAAGCTTACATGCCAGAATGTAAACTACATTTTTTTTGTCATGACATGTATTCCTCAAGTTGTTTTGATCTCTGAATTCTTGTATCAAATGCCCATTTGATGGTAAAGCTACTACCAATACAACTAGGAAGATTTGTCCTATCCAAATAACATGTACTACTATACTGTATTGTACATTCCATAGGCTGTAGAATTGGTTCTGGATGCAAAAAATGATATTTGATTATTAACTTCAGTCATGTTCGAGTGTGATGGCATATTCAAGTACTATGGTGATGGCTGAAACTTCAGTTGAGCATTACAACTTCTACAAATATGGCTGATTTATTCCAACTTTGAAAATTACTAGGAAGTTTGAAACATGACTACATCTTATTCATTGAGTTGATTGTGCCATCAGTTGCGAACTTTGACTATTTATAATCTTTGAATGTATATGTTGATTGATATTGGATATTATTCAAGTGGTCTAGAATAGGCATGAAACTTATGGGCGCTATTCCGGAATGTCAAATCTTGTAATGTGCTATAAGAGCTATTATTGCTGGCATGTCTTTGAGGTACGTGGTTTCTATTTTTGCTACCTTTGGGGAAGGTTGGAAGGCTGCAAGTAGAACAATTGGAGGAGGCAGGTGCAGTGGGGGCAGCAAGCTGGCGAAACTACCCTTGGCTTTGGCTATAGGCAATGTTGGATGGCTTGGATGCTGATGCCAGGTAAGTGAGTTAAGGGAGCTGGACATCAAAATGTTGTGAACATCAGTTTGAAGTATTGTGATTTAGATAACAACATAATACT